GGCTGTTTTCAACAGGAATGATGGCATCTCCCCAGAGCAAAAGTCAACCCAGTGAGTAGTCACTAATTCCCATTCATTCATTCCTTCCTTCCTTCATTCATTCATGCCATACGTATCCATTTGGAGTCTACCCCATTCCAAACACTGCGGTTTTTTCCCAGCTCCGGCACAGAGGGGGGCACTAAGGGCTGCCCACGTCATGAGGGTGGTCCTAGGTGCTAACAGCCCCCCGGCGCCCCCTCCAGCAAGCCGGCGCATCTGTCCTAAGTGCCCAGATAGGCTGGCATTGCCTCCAACACCCTTTGCAGGACAACATTTTGTTTCAACTCACACATAAAGCTGCTACTTCTCTCTGTGGCCTATCTCCGAGGCTAAAATACAAACTCCATAAGGACAGGAATGACCTAGCAGGTCTGCTCGTCCTGCACCCTCCAAATGCCTTCCATATGGACAGACTGAATGAGCCTTAGGGGGTGAAGTTTTGGAAGCCCAAGGCAGGACCAAGAAAGACAAGTTCCCTCAGTGTATCGGAGAGACGATATCTGTTCTAGTCAACACGAACCCCAGAGCAAAGCCTGTACTTTGCAGGAAGAATGGAAAGTCAGAGGGGAAGGAAGGAACAGCAGCAGAAGGCTAACCAGGATAGATTACCGAAAGGAGGCCCAAGGTGTCTGATGACCACGGCTGCGCCCGCCGCACATCACAACGTAACCTTGGCTGGACAAAATAAATGAGTGTGTAAACTGAAGCCAAATAGAACTACAGTAGATCCTGCTTGTAAACACCAGCAGAATCAGCTAAAAGTCACAACAGCAGGCAAGCCGGCTTCTCCGTTACCTTTGCAGGCGGGTAAAAAGATAATTTACAGCCCCAGTACTCAGGTGACAGCTGACAGCCCGAGAATTAACCCAAGTCATAATAAAAGCTAAATGGCTTGCTTTAGCATTAAAAGAAAATTGCACCCAAATGTGATTTCTTTCTCTCTTGGCCCTTGCAACCCTCAATTAAGCAAGCTATATAAAAGGTAATCCAGAAATTATCACACCTTCCAGGCCAGCATCCAAGCAAGGCCACCCGCCACAGTCAAGCATTAACTCAGTCAAGAAATCTTTGGGGACTCCTAGGTGCCGGTCACCGCGCTAAGTTTTGAGAGACACTGGGAAAAAAAGCGAAGACTCGATCCTTGTGGGATGCTATTGGGGAAGACAGGTTATAAACACTTAAACAAAGCCCAAGTGATCGCAGGTGTGCAGTGGCGAGCTCGTGCAGACAAAAAGGTGTGGCCACGTTAGCAAGCAAGGGCTGTGCGCAGGAGAGACTCTGCAGGTGACCCTGATGTTGGAATTGGAAGCGTGAGAAGGAGGAGGGTATCTGCAGAGAGGAGAGCAAGTTCAAAGATCCCCAGGCAGAGCAAGGACAGAAATGAGGCTCACATCAGCAGAGGGCAGTGAGGGACAGCCAGAGTGACCAGGAAGCTGGGGATGAGGCACAGGCCAGCCCCTCGTGGCTGAAGGGTGTTCAAGGAGGAGGGTTATGTGATCTGATCGGCAGTTTTAAAAGCCAGTCCACTCGGGATCCCATGTGGAGAATGGACTGGAGATACCCAGGGGGGAAGCCTGGGGACCTGTTAGGATGTTGGTCCAGGAAGGAGGCAATGGTGGCCAGGACCAGAGTGGGAGCTATGATCATGAGGACAGGGGGACACCAGATAACATCCTGGTGGTTGAACCATGGGACTCACAGATAGTGAAGATGTGGAAGGTGAGGGAGAGGAGAAGCAAGGACTACTCTTAGCAAGTGGGTGCATGGTGGGGCCCCTGACTGAGACGGAGAAGATGAAGGGAATGAGAGAGCTGGACGGGGTATCAAGAGCTCCATTCATGGACAAGAGTTGGAAGCGCCCAGAAGGGCTGTGTTGGAAATAAAAACATGGGAGTCACCAGCAGGGGTGGGGTGGATAACACTGTCGGAAGAGAGAGGCAAGGGCACAAAGGATGCTGGTCCAGTCCCTAAGCAGCCCCATCATTCAGAGGTCAGAGAAGCCACTGCAGGGAGACTGAAGAGGAACCATTAGAAAGGTGAGCAGAAAACCAGGGGAGTAGGGAGGCCAGAAGCTGGAGGGTGGTGGGAGGATGGGGGGTGGGGGAATTCTTCCAGGAAGGAGGGAGTGGCCACTGGTGAGGAAGAGGGCCAAGGGGCCAACACAAGGACAGAGATCTGGCAGGTCCCCAGGGATCCCGCTGCTGGGTGCGACTGCAGAGTGTGAAGGGTAACGCATGGTAGAAGAAAGCTGATGGAGAGACTGGACATATCTTCTGAGATGTTTTCAGGTGAAGGAGAACAAAGAAGCGAGAGAGAGAAGACAGAAGCTACAGCTAGGCTCTCCAAGATGGCCGCCACTACCCGCATGTGGCTATTTCAACTTCAATTAAGAATTCAGGTCTTCGGTCACACTAGACACATTTCGAGTGCCCAACAGTCACATGTGGCCGGTGGCAGCTGTATCAGGCCCTGCAGACAGAGCACATTCCCATCGAAAGGTCTACTGGACAGTACTGAACCAAAGCCCGTGTGTATATGGATGAGACAGACCCTGGAGGGAGGGAGGGAGGTGGCCTGACAAGGCAGAGAGGGGACGGGATGGACAGTCCCGGGTGGGGGACAAGAGGAGGGCCTGGCCAGCTGCTGCGACAGGGGGCAAGAAAGCCACCAGGGGCAGACACCCGCGGCAGGGGGCAGGAACATGAGGCTTTCCTCCGTCTGTGGCTCTTGTTTTGTCAGTGAAGGTGTGTGAGGGGAGAGGAGACAGGTCTCAGGAGAGAAGGTAGGAAACAGCGGCCTCGGGGAGAAAAAGCACAAACTTACTGGGGAAATCACAGGCTCAATGCAAAACACTTCACAGAAGAGAAGCGGAAACAGTTCATGTCTGACAGAGGAAAAGCATCTTAAGTGGGGAAGAAGTAAACTCAGAATTTTTTTTTCCTTAATTCTTGGCCACGTCTGCACAGTCGAGCCGTAACAGGGCCAGAGAACCACAGTGAGATTCTCCACTGGCTGCCCTTTTGTTCTTTCCATCCCACTCAACTCTCAGAAAGCATGACATTGGTTCTATTTCTAGTGAAAATGGCTCCCTCCACCCTCCTCTGTCTGAACTGCTTATCCAGCCTTAGCTCCAACCCCATTTTCAGCCGTGCTTTGTATCACATAAATTACAGAAGAAGGGATATATGGAAACTGGCAGAAGTAAGCTGGAGTCACGAACCAGCCCTCACCTCTGTGAAGTGAGGGACAGACTGAGTAATGAAAAAAGTACAGGAAAGCCACCTCCCACTTAAACCCGATCCCCAAGCCAGTCCTCCCGGATGCTCCACAAACAAGTTGCCTTCTGCTGTTTTCTTCAAGCTTCTGTGAGTAAACATTTTCATTTCCACAGAACTATTTGATCTCAACCACAGAGTTTCAATATTTTTGATCACGCAAATATGCTGAGTTGGTTCTGTGGCTGTCTGTGGGGAGGGACACGGAGTTAAAATTACCAGATCCCTTTTATCTTCCATCTTGAGACCTACATTTGCCAACTCCTTCTTCCCCCTGTACATATTTTTTTTTAAAGTATGAAATCTGAGAACCTCAAAGTTTCCCACTGCACAAAGAGCAGCTCTTTCATAGTCTACCAAGAGGTCACTGAAAATGTTACAGGAAACCTGCTTCCCCACCAATGTGCCTCTGGTATTCTCACCCACAGTTTCTCTACGTGTGACATCTCCTGGACTGGCACCCATGTCTTAAGCAAATCTCTCAGTCCCTTTCTCTCCCCACTGTCCTGTTCATGGGGGTCTGGAGCCCTCACACTGCCTTTCATCAAAATTCCTCTCCGCCTGCCTCTGGTTCCTTCTGACACCCTGCCGACCCCACAGATAAGGTTCACTGGGTAAGAGGACTCCAGAAACTTCCCTGGAGTGAGGTGCCACAGAGCCACTGACCCGTGGGAGCCAGGCCACCAGGACAGTCGCGCCCCTTTCCACTCCTCCCCAACCCCATACAGAAAAGCACGCTCTCTAAACCCACCCAGCAAAAGTGATAAGGGCCGTTTGAAGGGCGCTAAGCACAGCAGCAGGGGACACAGAGATTCAGGAACTCGCCACACGCCCACCATCCCCGTGGCCGCTGTCAGGCTGCGGCTTCCCCTCTGCAGATGCACGAAATGTCCTTCTACAAACACTCATCAGCTGTCCAACCTGGAGACAGTCACCGAACCACTTAAGGCATCAGTTTCCTCATCTGTAAAATGGGCAGAACAGCTGTGCCCGGAGCAAGGCGGGCGCACCTCGCCGCTGCTCTCCGGTGAGCAAGTGCAAGGAGTCAGTGGTGTCAGCACAGCGGCTCCCTGACTCACCGCGCCTGCTGCTCGCGGAGACGCCAAGGGAGAAATCGGTCCTGCCTTTTGAATTACTTTACGTACGCACAAGCATTAGTCACTCGGACAGAGTATTTCAACTTCTCCCCTGAGCACCTTACTCCGCTGTGTCGAGGACCGGAGCCTCCCTCCGGCTCCTTCCAGACTTCCTCACCCTCATCCGTCTCCAAGCCAAGTCCACTATTCCTACGCTCGGGGAGGGGGGTCGGGATGATTTCGCCCGTTCCCTCCGCAGGAAAACTTCATTTCCATTCCGCTGGTAACAAACCCCGTCCTGGAGGACGACTAACTGCTGCTCGCACTCCCCAACACAGGCCCGGGAGTTGGTCGCGCCCGGGGCCGGCTCGGAGGCGGAGGGCCTCGCGCGCGGGGCCGAAAGTCCGCGCCCAGGCCGGGCTGCCCCGGCGGGGAGGGGGGAGGCCGGCGCGTCGGGGCGGAGGGCGCGGGGTCGGAGGCCCCCCGGCTGGCAGGAGCCGGCCCCCGGTGCGGGGAGAAGGCGCGCGCGGGCAGGGGGCGCCGGTCCCCCCGGGGCTCCGAGCCGGGCACGCGTGGCGGCCCCTCCCGCGGGCGCCGGCTCACTCACCCCATCTCCGGCGCTGCTCCGGCGGCCGCTCCGACGGGCCCTCTGGCGCTCGCTCCCCGCGCGCTCCGCAGTCGCTCCCCGCGCGGCACATGCGGCGGCCCGTGCGCGCCCCGCTCAGCCCCGGCGCCGCTCCATTCCGCGGGGCTGCGCGGCTGCTGCTGGAGCTGCCGCCGCCGCCAGGCGCGGGCGGGAGGGGGGCTGGGCCGGCGGGGGTGGGCGGGGGCTGGGCGGGGGGGGGGGCTGGGCGGCCGCGCTCGGGCCCCGCCCCGCCCCGCCCCGCCCCGCCCCGCCCCGCCCCGCCCCGCTCCCCACGCCGGCTCCTTACGTAACCTCGGGGCCGGGGCCGCGGCGCCCGGCCAGGGGCGGGGGGCGCGGCTGCGCGGGGACCGTTTCCCCGCGCTGCCGCGCGCTCCCCGCCCGCCGTGCGCAGCCCCCTTCTCCCGCGGGCAGCGTGGGCGCACCCCCGTCCCTGTCCCGCCCCGGGGGGCTTGGCGCTGTACCTCCGGGCGGGCACCCCGCCTGCGGGACCGAGAGTCGCCCTCGCAGCTGGAGGGACTTTGGTGCCACCCAAGATTGCAGGGGAGGGAACTGAGGCTCCGGCGGGGGGCAGAGAGTTGCCCCAGGTCACATTTTCAGACCCGAGCTCGGGTCTCCAGAATCTGAGATGGGCACGGTCACGCCCCTCCTCGGAGCCCTTCATTTTGCTGTCCATTGCCCGGCTCCGTGGCTCCCGGTGCCCGCCGCCATGAAATCCGGGAAGCCAACGTGGCAGGCGGTCCTGCACCTGCAGCGGGTGCTCTGGTCTCTTCCGCGGGTGAAGACGGGGCTGGGCTCCCAGTGAGAGCCTAATAGCTTTTAAGGAGGCTTAATTAAGCTTGGTTTTATTCTTAGAGCAAGGGAAATTGAGATGGCAACAAGAACTTAAAGAGCAGTCCCTGAATCCCTTGTCCACACATCATGTTCCGGTTCTCTACCAAAGGCTGGCACCGGGACTAAGCTAACCTTCTGCCCCTGAGGGCCTCCCACCAGATCATCTGCTGAGAACACACTGACCACATAAACCTACCATTTTAGGACAGTTAAAAAAAAAAAAAAAAGTAAAGGAAGAAGCATAAGAAGTAGGGCCACCATCTCAAACCTCCCCTCATCTCTTTTGGGACCACAAGTTTACCTGCTAACCACCAAGGTCTCCTGGGTGAGGGTGGGGGGCACCCACCCTGTACTTCACACTGTGGTCAGTAATTATCTCAACTAAATCTGATCATGTCACTCTTCTTAAAATTCTTCAGGGGGTTCCTTCCCACTGTCCTTAGGATGAAGACCAAGATACTAAACATGCCTCAAGACCCTGCCCCATGGTGCCTCCACTGCCCTCTCCAGCCTTTTCTCTCTCCTTCTCCTCTTCTTGCCCTTAGCCAACTGACCACCCCCCTTCCAGCCCCAGGACCTTTGCACATGCTATTCTCACCCTTTGGGAAGATCTTCTCCCCTCATGTCTGAGTCACTCCTAGTCAATTCCTACTCACTCTTCAGATCGCAGTTAAACTCTCCCTTCCTGTGGAACGTTTAATTAATGCCCTAGACAAACTGTGAACGCCCATATTGCACTTATTATTTGCAATATGTATCTGTAAAGCTACCAGTGTACTATCTATCTCCCAGGCACACTTGCAAACTCTGTGGAGCCATCTCTTTTTGTTCATCATTGTCTCTCCAGTGCATAGAGCTATGCCTGCACGTCCTCCACAAACACCTGTTGAATGAATGAATTGGCATAAGCCAGGCCCCAGACAGACAGAACTGGCCGGCGTCCGCAAGCACAAGTGAGTCTGTTCGGAGTCTGTTCAGTACTTGGTCCTGGAGGAGCTACATCTATCAGCAGCTGAATTCCGAAGACCAGGGGTTGGGGTGGGGGTGAGGGCCGTCCTGGGCAGTGTGGAAGGCAGAAGTCAGCAGAGGAGAATAATGGAGAGGCCAGCTCAGCTGGCGGGGGTATCCACACACAGATTCGCCCTGCGGCAGGGCTGAGCAGCCTCCCGAATCCTGAACAGGAATAGCTTTTTGTTCCACTGACGGGAGGGCGCACCCACTTACCTTGGGAGGGCACAGCCAGGCACAGCAGGTGGAGTTGGTGACTCACTTGGGCTGTTTCCCACAGTCAGTGCGAAGCAGGGCGATGCTGGAGGTAGGAGCCCACGGAAGGTTTAACTCCATGAGTTAAGTGCCTGTCCCTCTGGACAAAGGCCCTCCCTACAGGGTGAGGATAAAAAGGAAAAGCATGGAGCAGACAAGATTTGGAAACAGATGTCCCTCGTCCGCACCAACTCTGGAGGACCTGTGGGGAGGTTTCCCTTCTCTCCTTCAACCCCAACTCCAGGCCCAGAGTGGGGGCTGCCTCCTGGGAGGCTCCCAGACAAGCCAGAGCCTCGGGTGGGCCCTCTCAGCAGCACTTGGTCACCGTGGGATCTCCCCGAGGGGGGCCACTCGGAGTTCCTATCCAGGCCTGCTGCTCCATCCAAACCGTCACCCCTTTTGTGTGAAACCTCTCCCAGCAACATGCTCTGTGTGGCCCAGTTGTCAAGGAAAAGAATGGGCCGAGTCTCCTCATTGAAGAGGCCCGAGGTGAAAAGGAGGGAGGCTGTGCTGGCTGGAGTCTGAGGCAGGGCCAGGAGTCCTGGGTATCCTTTTAGACTGGGCAAGAGGAGCCAATGGGGGCACAGACTGAAGATGCGGGTGGGGAGAGGGGGGTCCCGTCCAGAGGAGAGCGGGAGAGCACGGGGTCCAGCCCCAGGCAGAGGCGTGAGCCTTGGAGAGGAGGGGAGGGTCTGGAGGAGAAAGCTGACAGTGAGGGTGGGCTCACAGTCTTCTCCAGGAAGCACGAGCAAGAGCAGGGCTGGGGAAGGCCAACTCTGAAACATCGGCCTCGGGAAGGTCAAAGGGGATGTTTGCCTATATCCAGAGCTGGGAGTGGGTGGGGCACAGATGCCCCCAGAAGTCTGGGAAGCCGGACCTCGACCAGCACAAACTCAGGCACTTGGCATTCCTGCCATTCTGTGTGGGTAACAGAGGTTTCCAGAGCTGGAGCACCAGGAACGGACAATCTGGACAATCGGCCTAAGGAACGTTTCGAACTCTGACCAGGGCAGATCTGGCCACCGGGGAGGGGGAGGGGGTGGGGGGTGAGGCTCAGCGGAGAGCTGCAGGTGCAGAGAGCTGAGGAACCGAGGAAACAGGGAGCAGCTTCCCATGCGCCCCTCCTCTGTATGGCCTGCAGTCCCCCCTCAACCCCCAGCTGCCTTGGCGGAAAAGCACTGTGCGCTCTCTGTGCCTGAGACGGCAGCATTCCGCGGACTCTCACTTCCTGCCTCTCAACACCAGCTCCCAGAGAAATGGCCAGTTTCCGTCTGGGGCAGGGTAAGTACAGGTGAGCTAAAGCACACTGGTGTACCAGGAAGTAAGGACCTGCTCGAGCAGACACGAGGATGGGGACCCAGGAGCCCCTGAAAGAGCTCTCAGTGGCCAAAGCTGAAACACTGGGAACATTCTGATAAATGACACTGATTAGCATTACAACGCAAAATAAGAAACAAATCGACATCGGTCCATGCGGAAGTAAATTATTAAGGGGACGCCTGACGCGGCTCAGGTCATGATCTCTGGGTCCTGGGATTGAGTCCCGAATTGGGCTCTCTGCTTAGCAGGGAATCTACTTCTCCCTCTCCCTTTCCTTCTGTGCGCACGTGCTCTCTCTCTCAAATAAATAAAGTCTTTAAAAAATAATAAATTATTAAGTAAGTGGAGAAGAGGCAAATCTTCCCTACAGAAGATTTCCAAATGAGACGCACAGATACCCTCCATTCTGGGAGGTAGCGTGTGATACACCCCACCCCTCCACCCTCCTCTCCTTTGTGTCTTAGTGTCTTAGTGATTTGCCGTGAAAGAATACAGAGAGGGAAATGTGGTCACACCACAGTGGGGGAACCCAGCAGACCTCCCTTGACCAAGCCATCAAGGTGAACGTCACCAGTGATGAAGCATGTTGGCATCTCGTGCCCCTGATAGGGTGTGACAAGACGAGTACTTCACCTGCGTGACGATTTTTTCCCCTAAACCCATAACCCCGGTTGACTCACGAGAAACACACCCGACAAATCCACATTCGGGAGCATTCTACAAAATACCTGACCAGGACTCCTCTGTCAAGGTCATGAAAAAGAAAGAAAGACCAAGAAACCGTCACAGGCCAGGGGACACCCAGGAGACGTGAGGCCTGAATGCATCTGAGATCCTCCACTCAGTGCTGGAAGAGGGAAAAGGCAAACGGGTAAGATCCAAAGAAAGTCAGGAGTTCAGTGACTAGCGACGCGCTACGGCGGGCTCCTCGCGCTGCCATCCTGTGGCACCGTAAGACGCTGATGGCGGGGGGGCGCCCGGTGAGGGGTGTGCGGGAGCTCTAAGCCTTATCGTTCCCACTTCTCTGTACATCGAAAACTGATCCGAAATAACAAGTTTATTGAAAAAGAAAGTAGCCCTGGGGATGTCCTGTATGCCAAGCCCCACACGCCCCTCGCCCCGGCCACGGCGGGAAGGTGAGCCTGCGGAGCTCGGGGCCAGCACCCCACCTGGTGAGGCCTGGGGCTTGACACGGTGTGCAAGACCCCCAAAGCCAGCCGTCCGTATCCGCGCTTTGCAGGCGACTGGCAGTGAGAAACGTATCTGACACCACAGCCCAGGCCCGGCTTCGGCGTTCTCTGCAGAACGGAAACAAAAGTTACATATATATATATAGGAAAGTCACACAGAACAATGCTTACCCTCTCACCCGCAAAGCATTCAGCATCGTCCCTTCTGTTCTATTTTTAAAGGCGGTGCTGCCCACAACCCGCTCCATTGATTTTGAAACCTGTAATCTATACATGTTTTTTTTCTCTCAACAGCAAGATGAGGCTCACCGTGTCCACGGATGATATTATTAGTGTGTTCAGATTTCTGATGCTGCTGATCTGAGGACTTTAAACACTTTTTAATCTTCTGACCCTACAAGGTCAGTTCTTGACATAGGAAACAAACGTCACATGAAAGCCCTTAATTCAATGGAGAACTATGAGGGGCTACGCAGCTACTAGATGAGATCTGGGAAGACCATAGAGTAACACGGAAAAATATTTATTCTTTCAGCAAATATTCATCACCTACTGGGTGTCTGATGTTGTGCCGGGCACCAGGGACAAAGCTGTCAGCAAAAGAGACCCGATCCTTCCATCACGGAATTATAAAATCGCATGAAATACAGGAGTCAAATCATCACACAATATATAAACTGTGATCTGTGTGAAGAGAAGAGTTCTAATTTAGATTGAGGACGGGGGCAGGAACAGTCCCTGAAGACGGGCTGGGGATGGTGTGGAGCCAGAGGTCCTGGGCAGAGGACAGGACAGACACTGGGCTGGGGGAGAAGCGGGAAGTTTGGAGGAATTGGAAAGTCAGGCTGTTTCGAATGTGGTGAGTTTCATGAGGCACGAGAAGAGGTGGGAGGGGGACCCAGGGGCCCGAGGCCTGGTTCAGGATCTGGGCTCACTGGCAGCGGTGGGGCGGAGGCGGGGAGGACACTAAGATCTCATTTAGCTTCTGCAAAGCCCAGTCTGGTTACAGGGAGGAGAAGTAAGAAGGGGCAGGAGTAAAGACGTGGAGACAAAAGATAAGGGAGAGGCTGCAGGAAGGTGGGTTAGGGATCAGACATGCATCTGGGGGTAGAGTCCACAGGACTGGGTGAGGGACCGGGTATGTGTTTTGATAGGAAGTTTAGTTGGGACGGTAATCTAGGTCTCCATTCTCACTGTGTCAGGACTCTGGTTAGGCAGAAACTATCAGTGTGTGGGACCAAGAGCCGGACGTACAGAACATGAAAATCTGGCTCACAGGCAGCAGAAGGAATACGGGGGGAAAAGCACCAACACCAGAGTCAGACAGAGCTGGGCCTCACGCTGGCGGTGCCATGAACCATCGGTGATGGGGGCCAGCTTTCCAGCCTCTCTGTCCGCTCGCCTGCCAGGCAAGGGACCTCACTGGATCGTGCTTGCTCCCTGTGGTCCTCCCGATCAAGACTTCTGTGCTTAGCTCAGTCCCTGGAGCAGTACCTTCCTGACACACTATAAGTACCGTTATTATTACTGGCTTTCGTGGTGGAACCAGGGGAAAATTCGAATGAATACTGATCCAATACTATTTATATAGCAACATATTACAACTTAGTGGGGTCAGCTTAAGGATTCTGAGAATGTACGAAATGGCTCACACACTTCTCGCCTGGGGACACTCTGCAAACCTGTGTCCCAAACTCTCCATAGTGTCAAGATTCCTCTGCAGGGCACCTGAGGGTCAGAGAAGATGTCATCTTAAGATGGCACCAGAGGGATACGGGACCGCCAGCGCCAGTCCTTTCTGTTTCCAATCTGGCCCAGGACCTGCCCTTAGGAAGGCAAGCCATCACCGGTTTCCAGCAGTCCCTGTGACCCTCTACTCTCCCATCCAGGGCTTTCCTAAGTCTGTCTGTCCTGCAGCAATTCTGAAAGCATTCATTAATTCATTTAACCCTGACTGAGCACCTATTCCAAACAACCTAATACGCAAAGTGTAACTGAGGTACAAGTAAATTCCATGAGACACTGACTTTCCCTGGCTTAGACAGCAAAAGGGGGACATCCCAGCTGGGTCGTGAAGGATGTATGGGGGAGAAAGCCGCTTCCTACAAACAGACCAGGGCCAGGGTGTGACTCACACAGGGAACGGTAGCAATGTCCCCGTGGCTGGCTCAGTAGTGGGTGGTAGGAAGTGGCCAGGCATGAGAGGTCAGGTGAGACCCCACCAAACGATCTCGGGGACACGTGAAGACGTTGGACTTGATTCTGAGGGCCACAGGGAGTAAGTACAAACCCTGAACATGATCAGATTCGGATCTTAGACCCTCTAGCAGCTGGAGGGAGAATGGCCTAGAGGGGCAGAGGCTGCGGGCACAAGGGTGTGAGGGCAGCTTTCGGCCAAGGCTGGGAAGGGAGAGGAGGTGTCTTGACCAGCCTCCAGGAAGGGACGGGAGCCTGGACTAAGAGCGGGGAGCAGGGAGTTCTTGTGACGCTGGAAAGCTCCAGCTTTTGGGCGGAGGGGTCAGTCATCCAACAGTCCAACAAACTTGAGGCGAGGCCGAACATCCCCGGCCGTCTCCACCCAGAGTTCAGCTACGACGGGCAACACTGGAAATGACCAGACGAGCAGCCCGGCCAACTGCAGGCGCCCCGGGGTGGTCTGGGTTTTGCCGCTACGCAGCCTCGAGCTAGCACCCGATCACCCCCACGGGGCCTTTGGGACGATTCAGCAGGTGAGTCCCCCTGTAGGACAGCAATCTCCGAGGGCAGGGTCCCTCGCTTCGTCTTCCTTGCTGGGCTCTGTTCGTGGACAGGCTCTCTTCCCAGCGCTGGGCCCACATTCAGATGAAGCAAGAAATGAGTAAATTCCCCAGCGATTCAAACCACGGTCCCAGAATGGAGGCGCACCGCGTCTGACTGGCCTGCCTGGGGGCTGCACATGCCCTGATGGGCTTAGTGGGGGTCACACGCAGCCCCAAGTGAGGTGCGGAGGCAGCTGCTCGCAGAGGACTGTGGGCTAGGGTCAGGACTGGAGCAGACACCCACAGGAAAATCAAGGGTTGGGACAATCAAAGTAAACCGATGTGGGCCGGGGCAGGGGGTTATGAGAACAGATGCCCACCGTGAACACATGGTTCTGTTGGTTTCCTGGGGATGGGCACAGAGGAGATGGGTGAATCATTAGATGAAAGTCAAAGATATGACAGAATCATTCCAAGTTAAGCTATTCCTGGAAGAGAACTTGAAAGACCCAGTCTGGGGAGCTGGAGAACACTTAATTCTGAGATTCCCCCCCAAAAAAGAAAGAGTGGAAAGACATGCTGCAAACCAGTGGCTCTCAACCTTGGCTGGAAATTGAAGTCAGCTAGGGAGCCTTGATAAAATGTCAGCACCAGCGCCCCACCTGCAGACAGCGGGGTTTTATCGGCCTGGGTGGTGCCCAGACAGCCGTCAGCCCGTAAACTCCCCAAGCCATCCCAGCCCGCAGCCAGGGTTGCAAACCACCACTCCAAGCCTCGGGATGCCCAGAGAGTGGCACGGGTGAGGCGAGAGCCCCAGGAGTTTGGGACCTGGAAGGGAGAGAAAGGACATATCCTAGCTCATTGGTCGGGCTTGGTTGAGACTTAGGGCTCCAGAGGGGAATTAAGAAACCCCAGGAAATTGTGGGGCCAAGGATGTGCAGGGCCCCCTCTGAGCACAGGACAGAAGGAGGCGATCCTAAAGCCTGCTCGCGCTTTCTGAGGGAGGCTGGGTTCAGGGGAGAGTTGCCTCTGACTGGCAGCAGCCCCGAACAGAGAGGCGCCTACTTGCACACCTAGACCAGCTTGGAGCTCCGGAGCTCCGTCTGAGGCGACTCAACAGGACTGAGGATGAGTTAAGCAGGCTTCTAGCTGGAGACATGGTGTAGATGGTGATGCCATTCCAGGGTACAGGGAAGCCCGGGGCGGGCGGTGGGGCGCAGCCGCAGAGCAGAGAGGAGAAATGATGGGTGCAGTTTTGGACGTGCTGAGATGCAGGATACCGAGGGACGAGCAAGAGGAGATGATCAGTGGGCGGGCAGAGACAGCAGGGATGGTGTGTGGAAGGGGACTCTGGGCCGGCCCCGAGACAGGACTCCAGGAGGAGCGTCCCTGAGCTGACGGGGCGGAGGTGGGGCGGAAGGCATAGGGCCAACCACCAGGAGAGGGAGGGGAGCCTGGGGGGTGGAAAAGTGGCCCTTGGCACCCAGGGGGCCACCTGTTGTAGATGTGGACCAACCCCCTTCAGCCAGATTTAGTTGAATCAAATATCTTAAATTAAAAATAGAAGTAACGCTTTACTAGAAAACAAAAACAAACAAACAAAAAGCAAATCCTACGAAACATAAACGAGTGGGTTTTCGATTCATTTCAATGTAGCACATAGTCACCGAATGCCTGCCACGTGCCAGACTGGCCACAGATGTCCGGGCTGGCCTGGGGAGCCGGTCAGACCCACAGCCCCACCCCTCATCCCTTCCCCAGCCCCATCTGGGAGGCCGCAGTGGCTCCGGCTCCTGGCATCCCCGCCTCCAGTGAAGCTTAGCGCGTCCACCAGCTGTCCTCAGTGAGGCCCCCCTACGCCGCAAATCTGGGTCCTTGTGCCAAGTAACACCTTTCCTGAAAGCCTCCTGTTTCCCATCACTGCATAGTGGGTTTTGGCTCTGTGAGCTCCACAAAGCCCTTGCCTGTGCGGGGCTCCCAGTCAGAGCCCGGTCCTGCTCCGAGACCCACCTCTGGCTCTCGCCATGCTGCGCAGGGCAGAGATGCACCATCCGGCATCGGTCCAGGGAGGAGCACATCCACCTTTTCTGGCCATTTTTTTTTTTAAAGATTTTATTTATTTATTTGACAAATAGATCACAAGTAGGCAGAGAGACAGGCAGGACAAGAAATTTCTGAAAGGAAGCAGGCTCCCCGCTGAGCAGAGAGCCTGACATGGGGTTTGATCCCAGCACCCTGGGATCATGACCTGAGGCAAAGGCAGAGGCCTAAACCACTGAGCCACCCAGGCGCCCCTTTTCTGGCCATTTCTGACCATCCCTCCAACAGCTCACCCCTAGAGGTGGGGCTATTGGGGGGGGGGTCTCCAGAGTTTCCTTCCTCTAACAGTGCTATAATACCAGACAGCAGAAAATCCTCTGAAATCAAGACAATACCTCTCTACCCTGTGGAAACAAGAGCCCACCCCTGATTCCCCCAGAGAGCTCTCCCCATCATCATTCCCTTTCCTTCCCGGCAAATGCTTCCGGACTCCGGGCTGCTGGGAAGTGTGCGGGCTGCCTTCTCCATGGAGACTCCCCTGTAGAACTTTGTTTTCTATTCTGTGTGAACTCTTTCCCTCGCAACATCCCACGAGCTCAGGATTCCTAACCTTCTTCAGAAACAACACAAAACCTGCCTGAGCATTTGCTTTTCTTCACTCAAGTGGCCCTTCAAGGTCACACTTTTGCTGGTTTATCGCTCGGGAAACATCTTCGGTAGTTTCTCGGGTATATCGTCTCCTGAGCAAGTTGGGTTTTGTTCTTTCCTTCTAATTGCAGCAAAATACATGTCCCATAAAATTTATCATTTTAATCATTTTTAAGTATACAGTTTCGATGAAATTACACATTCGCAGTGTCGCGAAACCATCACCACTCTTTGTCTCCAGAACTTTTTCGTTTTTCGAAATCCAAACAAAGTTGTCAACGCCCAGAGGATGGGAACATGTTTAATTTAGTTTTTATTCCTTGTTCTACACATAATCCTTGCTCTACAAATACTCTGGACCAACTAGTGCAGACAAGAGGTTTAATATAAAAGACACCAAACAGGAACCAAGACTGCATCAAACCACATCTCCCCAAATTATGTCTTACTAAAGCAAGAGGGGGAAGACTGACGCTCCCCCCCATCCCCGAGAGGGAGAAAACCTAGAAACTTTTTCTAGATGGGGCCCAACATCAGGCTACGCGCTATCCCTGGCCAGAGGGGCCAGGTGTCCAAGACCCTCAAAGAAGATGAGAATGAGGAGGATGAGGCCCTTGTCCTCTCTGCTGAGAGAATGTGAGACCCTTGTGGGGTTCCATCTCAGACCAAAAGATGAGCCCACAGCACACAAGATCACTTGGAGGCAGGGACCGAGCCCATTACTCCGGAGTAACATCCCTTGAACAACCAGAGGAAGATTTCCCCCAACTTGCCTCATCACACAGACCTCTCAGGGCCTTCATTAAGCAGATTCAATCAGTACTTTCTGGGCGTGGGATCTGGGAATCTGCATATTTAATAAATACGTGGAGCGATTCTTATGAAAAACAAATTTGGGAAAGAATGAACTAGAATGTTCCATCAGTAAGGCGGGGCCAACCTAGAGGCCTGGGGCTGGGAAGATAAAGGCTCCCAGCCAGACTTTTCGTTGTGCTCCAGAGCTGCTCAGACCAGTGGGCCGCTTTCCAAGCCCTCCCTGGCCTCCTGGCCCCTAAGACTCCCTTGTGCCTGCTGCCTCTGCATGCTTGGCCCTTCCTCTTCCACATCCTGAACACAGGGCCCGTGTACTGCCTCTCGTTCCTTGCTCTGTGCCGAGGGCCTTGGCTGATCCAGGCCCTGGCTCATCCCCTGGCTTGGTTCCCCATAGTTGAGGGATGACAATGAGCTAGAGTCCTAATTTAGAACAAGAGAGCCAGGTAGTCATGGCTAGGTATTAATTAGGGAATGACTACAGCTGGCCGGTGACATCAGACTCTACCTTTAGCTCCATCTGGGTCATTACATGGAAATAAGTCTGGAAGCTTATATCTACCAAATCGGAGGTTGGTGTTTACAGAGGGAGACACTGGACACCAACCATATCATCACAGCTGAAATTCCACCTCGGGGCCCTTCTGATGCAAGCCAGCCGAAGGAAGCCCAAAGCCCGGGAGGCTGACTCATGTTCAGGTTGCTCTAGCCGGGGGCCCCGGGGGCCTCCGAGCGCCACAGAAACATGACTCCCCTCTCCCACAACCACTCCAGGGTATGATGGGTCAGAGAAGGTTATGGCCAAACGGGCTAGAAATTCAGAAATGTCTTCCTTTTAATAAAGCCAGGAAGGGCTTTATTGTCGTTAAAACAAATTAGAAAAGGACAAGAAATTTCTGAAAAAGCTCCGTGTTGACCTTCGCTTCAGAGTTACGTAAAGCAGCGTTTCCGTGGGATGTCAGCAGGTGTTACACAGCAGGAAAAGTTTCTGTCCTCCGTAGGTTTGGATGAAACTAAAATAGGTTTCTTTCCTTATCTGTCCGTCTGTCTCTCTCTCGCTCACTTTTTAGAACCTGTACTGTGTCGATATAGACAGGAAAATCCAAGAAGTAAATGCAATATACTATCTTTTCTAAATTAAGTGAATTTACTAACAACAAAACCTTACATTTTCCAGAGGGGACACGTTTTGGGAAATGGTAAAACAAGGGATGCCATAACCCAGTGCCAACTTGACTTACAAGAAACGAACTGACGGTTGCTGAAGGGGAGAGGGGTGGGAGGGATGGGGTGGCGGGGTGATGGACACTGGGGAGGATGTGTGCTATGGCGAGTGCTGTGAATTGTGTAAGACTGATGATTCACAGACCTGTACCCCTGAAACAAATAATACATTATATGTTAATGAAAAAAAATTTTTTTAATTAAAAAAAAAGAAAGAAGTGGTTGCTACTGTGTTTGCTCTCGGGTGAATACCAACTCCTCTGTCTGTAACCACAAAAATCACTTCCAAGGCTTAAGCAACAGAGCACTGTAGTTAGGTGAGTAGACGGTCTCGATTCTTACCCGGGCGCCCCCCGCTTTTAGGCTCAGGCATGTTAACTAAATTCCTTAGGCCTCAAGTTTGTCCTCTGTAAAATGGGCAGTATTGGCACCTTTGCACTAAGGTGCTGGCGAGGAGACGAAGCCACGCCCTGAGCTAGCACTGTCCAGCCATAGAGGCACGGTCTCCTGCAGGAGGGGGGTCCTCTCGCTCACTTCCGGGCTTGATAATCCTGCACATAAGCTAGTGTCACTTTGGAAGCACAGCACGTTGGGAGGAGAGTAGAATTGAGGGGTGAAGGAAAGGGTAAGAATTAACCGAAGACGAGCGTCGTACTAAAGCTCCGAGCATCTGGGCGGCGACGCAGAGGCGCAGGATGAAGGAGAACGGTCACTAAAATGTGCAGAAAGACGAACAGAAGAGAATCAAGTCAGCCTTGAGATGGGCCACGTAGAAATACGTACTTATGCGGGTCCACCAAGGCGTTACAAACACAAAACAGAGGGGACAAAAGTAGAGGAGAAGAAAGCAAAGAATCAAACCTCAGAATTTCTTGGAACAGCTTCCACTGTAACTCGCAATGCCTCGAGGGCCATCGCCCCCGTCTTCAGGGGGCTGACGACCGATGAGGGCAGTCAGGAGAGTGTGGGGAGCTGAGAGCCACCGAGGAGTCACCAGGGGGAGAAGGACGGGCATCTGGAACTGCATAAGCCAAGAGGGGGAGAAGTTAAGATCCAGTAGCTTCCCCGACACACACCCACTATTCCGTCTCGGGGGCTTCGGTTACCTGCAGTCAACACAAGGTCTGGAAGCAGACGATCCCAACACATCCCAGGTCACCAGCCGCGCAATGCTCTGTCGCAGACATGTGCCCGCGTCCCCCACCTCACGTCATCTCCTCCTGTAGGCGCTTTCTCATCTCACATCCTCATGGGAAGAATAAGAAATATCCCAGTAAGGTCTTTGGACAGAGAGGCCACATTAACATAACATTCGTTACACTGTATTGTTGCGATTTTTCTATTTTAGAATGAGTTACTGGGGCGCCTGGGTGGCTCAGTGGGTTAAGCCTCTGCCTTCAGCTCAGGTCATGATCTCGGGGTCCTGGGATGGAGCCCTGCATTGGGCTCTCTGGTCGGCAGGGGAGCCTGCTTCCTCCTCCCCACCCCCGCCTGTCTCAATGCCTGCTTGTGATCTCTCTCTCTGTGTCAAATAAATAAGTAAAATCTTAAAAAAAGAATGAGTTACTGTTTTCATCTCCTGCTGTGTCTAACTGGTACGTAGGTACACATGATTGCAGGTATCTGTGTGCAGGAAAACAGGTCGTCTGTATGGGGTGGGTGCTCTCTGTGGACCCAGGCATCTGCTAGGGGGCTTGGAACATCCCCCCCCCCAAACAAGGAAGTGGGGCTACCATACTAACATCTGAGAGGGAGACCGGAGATGCTCTCGCTGGTGAGTTCCAGCGCTAAACTGCGGCCTCTCAAACAAGGATTTCAGTCATCCCACTGGCCTTTCAGGACTGGCCTCCATCGCCACACAGCAATGTGGGTCACGGCAGAAAAAGGGATTCCTCCAAGAAAACACCTGAGCAGGACTGGAACTTTAAGAGCATGCTGCCCGACTTCAGTCATCCTCATGAAGAAACTTGAATTTCTTTAAGATCTCGTTGTGGCTGGGAATGAACTTACCAGGTCGCTTCTGGGAAAAGCAGTTTGGTCTCTTTAAACCACAGAGCAATGAATCGAATCTAAAAAGCATATGTGCGAGGCAGTCTGGGAAACTGGAACACTGCCCTTTGATGATATTAAGGAATAACCTAATTTCTTAGAGATGGTAACACACTGTAAATAAGTTTTTGTTTTTGTTTTTTTTAAAAAGAGTCCTTAGCTATTAGAGGTCTACACAGCAGTAGCTGAAATTTGCTTCAAAATAATCCGGGAGGTATGGAGGAGAAGCAGCCCAGTGTACCAGTGCAGCTGGGCTGGCCACGAGTTGCTAATTGTCGGAGCTGGGGGTTAGGTAAGGGGGCCACCATACGGTTCTACTTTTGTGTATGTTTGAAATTTCCCATTGAAACCTCTGCAAAGCAGGGGCACCTGGCTGGCTCAGCTGGTACAGGTTGAGACTCCTGGCCTTGGGGTCCATGAGTTTGACCCCTACACTGGGTGCGGAGATTACTTACAAAAGCTTTTTTTTTTTTTAATTTTTATTTATTTATTTTACAGACAGAGATCTGAAGTACGTGGAGAGGCAGGCAGAGAGAGAGAGAGAGAGAGAGAGAGGAGGAGGAAGCAGGCTTCCCGCTGAGCAGAGAGCCCGATGTGGGGCTCGATCCCAGGACCCCAGGACCACGACCAGAGCCAAAGGTAGAGGCTTTAACCCACTGAGCCACCCAGGTGCCCCCAAAAACTTTTTTTAATTAAAAAAAAAAAAAGACTCCACAAAGCAGGGACATCTCATTACAGAGAGAGACAATCTAAATTAGGCCTATAAATACAATAGGCATTATATCTCTTTATTCATTTGCTCATTCAAAAATATAATTACATAGAATACGTAAAATTATCTGTATAAATATGGCAAAATTCATGTAACATAAAATTCACCATTTTAACCATTTGCAAGTGTGCACGATGCCAATTATACCTCCATAAAAAACAAAGTGTACAATTCGGTGGCATTTTGTACATTCACAAGGTTGTGAGACCATCACCACCATCCAGTTCTCTCACCCCAGGAGGACACCCGTTCCCAATTAATCTGTCACTCCCTGCTCCCTCCTCCTCTTAGCCCCTGGCTACTGCTTACCTGCTTTCTGTTTGCACAGATTTACCTGTTCTGCATATTTGAAATAAATTCAACATCTATTTTTTAAATTTAAAATTTTTTAAAGATTTTATTTATTTATTTGACAGACAGAGATTACAAGTAGGCAAAGAAGCAGACAGAGAGAGGAGGAAGCAGGCTCCCCGCTGAGCAGAGAGCCCGATGCAGGGCTCAATCCCAGGACCCTGGGATCATGACTTGAGCCGAAGGCAGAGGCTTTAACCCACTGAGCCACCCAGGCGCCCCTAAATTTTATTTTTTTTAATCACTAAAACATTCAACAGGGTTTAAAACTGAAAAAGTTCAAAAGGGTTTGCGGTGAAAGTCTTCGCTCTGACCTCTCTGGCCCCAGCACGCAGTTCCCTTTCCAGAGGTATCCGTTTCTTACTCATCCTTCCAGAGATTAAAACTTTCCTTCCTCCTCGTTTACGCAGACGGTACCATCTTATGCACACTGCTTTGCGGCTGGCTTTTTTCCCCCTTAAGTACCTTGCGGCTCGTTCTAGGACAGAACAAAAAGAACCCCTCCTTTTCCCAGCTGCATAGCATCCCCTGGTGCCACGCTAGAATCTGCATCCTGCGATGCATGCTCTGGGGTTATGGAAATGAATAAAATAAGGTCCTTTCCCGGGGAAGCTCTGGGTCTAAAATGTACTTTCTTTTGAGAATAGAGAACTAGAGACAAACTAGAGGCTTCTGCTTCGAGGCTGATCATCATCTCATCTGTCTTCACGGTCGGGCACCGGGAAAGGGAAAAGACGGCTAATCTGGAGGGTTCCGGGGAGTCTCCAGGGATCTGCCAGGTGTGGCTGGTGAAGGGGTCAGTGAATTACTGCCTCTTCTCCACCTTCTTGTCTTCGACACAACTGATCGTGTCACCTGTGTCCTCCCTTCTTTCCTGATTAGGAAAGAAAGAATTCTCCTTCGGGAAATTTAGAAGTGCACAGAGAGACAGGATTTGCCCACAGTCGTTTGCAAGCATTCCTAATAGCTGCTCAAAACCGCACTGCTTTGAGGGGCTCCTGGGCGGTGCGGTCGGTTACGCAGTCGACTCCTGATTTCGGCTCAGGTCATGATCTCAGCGTCGTGGGATCGAGCCCCATGTCAGACATTCAGCCTGCTTGAGATTCTCTGTCTCCATCCCCTGCCCTCCTCCCCACCGTCTACTCTCACGTGTGTGCGCTCTCTTTCTCAAATAATAAATGAATAAGTGTTTTTTAAAAAACTGCACTGCACTGATACACCGTAACTTACTAAATTATCTCTGTATTCACTGCTGCATTTTAGAGATCCAAGAACCGAAGCCACAACAGACGTTTATTTTAAGGAGATAGAGAAACATCCAAGTTCATATACCGAATGAGACAGGTAACAGTTGGAACCTGACATGTGTATTGGAAAATTCTCTCTGGGACACAGAAACTGTATTAATGAGTGATCTCAGGGAGGATGCAGGGCTAGGAAGAGGAGAGGAGCGGACAGCTAAGACTTCAGGGATTCCACAGTTGCTGGATAGTAAACTAAAATGAAAAATTCTGCAGATTGAACAGAGGAGCATTTATTTTGAGAGACTAGAACCCTGCAGTCCGTGTCTGTGGGGCTGGACCGAGCAGGCAGTGGGACGGAGGGAAGAGCACTGGTGGACAGCAGCCGCGTGGGCCGAACCCCATGGATGAGCAGCAGGGGCGCCCGCATCTGGGGGCGGTGGAAGCCACAGGATCGGACACGGTTCCCGTGAAGAGCGTGGAGGATGAGAAGAGGTCAGGGGCCGAGCCCCGGGCACACAGACCACAGAAAGAGTAAGTGTCGCAACAGCCGAGAGCTCAGAGCAAGACATCCTCACCAACCCTACCCCAGAAACTCTTCCTGCCTGACCTGGGGGGTGGCCAGAGCTTGTCAGAGGGGTTGGGGACCTTCACGGGTGTTTAGATCAGCAGGAGATTGGATAGGGGAGAGGAGGGCGGAAGGGGAGGACTGTTTGAGAGCCTGAAAAAGAGCTCCCTACGGCCAGGGACTTCATCACCAGGGCTCTGACAAAGGGACGGGACGCTTCCTTCCCTAACAATACAATTTTCCCTGAAAATGGACCTAATAATAGGCCTCACACTACTACCAAGGCTAAATTAGACTCCGCTGACTCATAAGTCTTTTTATGTCTGCAGTTCCGATCTCTGCTTCCCATACCACCGGGTAAATGACAACACTGTTGTTCTTCTACTGAAGATCTATTTCGGGGATGGGCAGTGGACCGTCCGTAGCTGTGTGTGCTATTATTACCGTATCTTTTACAGCATTCGTTTCAAACATAGAGGAAAAGGGAGAACGCACAGTGAGGCGAACTGCCTTCTTGCTAGGTAAATCCTCGGAGAAGAATTTGCTTTCGAACGAAGTCAGCCGCGTTGGGGGTAGAAAATCAGACAAATGGCCTCTTGGTAAATCTTGCCATACAGTGTTTGCATGGCTCCTTGTGGGTTAGAAACAGCGTTTGACTCAGAAAATACGCTGAGTAAAACATCTCTAGCTCCTGTTCAACCAAAAAATGGCGAAAGATAAACAACGCTGATCCCCGGCAAAATATCAGCTCGGTTTGGCAAATACTTACTGAGCACCAGCTGTGTTCCAAGGAGGCCGAGGTGGAAAGGCATGGTTGGCGGCCCAGAGGCTCAGACGCCAGGAAAGAGGCACTCTGAGTTGTCGATGGGGGTGGGGGGGAGTAGCCCATCGCAAAGAAGGTGTATTTCTCACCGTAATTTAATAAACTAACATCTGGTTTCCCGAGACACTGGTACGCTAGCGTGGTTACACAAGCTCGGTCAGTATAAGCCAACAGCAGGCAACCCGGAGTTCTGGATGTTTCCAGCGGGGGGCTTGGGCTCTGAATCACCCCACAGTTGCGGGTAATTAAAATCACCTGGTGGGGAGGGGTTAGAGGAGGCTCACGTGCCCCTCCCTGCCACCCCAATTCCCTGGCGTGGCGACTGCACGAGGCTTCTTCCTAACCCTGGTGATGCTGGTTCTCTCAGATCTGCACTGGGTGGGGGAACAGGTGGTGGTCAAAGGCAGGGGATGGAGGGGTGGGTGGGCGTGGAGACAG